TGCTCTCCTCTGGACAGATAGACAGTTACAGCAGCCCCCCCCCAAAAAAAGAGATTTTACTTTAATCCTTCCAGTTTCACCACCAGATTTCAGCCAGCACCACTTCGCGGTGCTGTAAATGCAAATCCGTTCTTAACATCAACCTGAAAATCGCATCGGTGAAATATACGCCCGGACTTCCTTCTAGATGTACCATTTGGTGTCCTGAAGTGTCCAAAGGTACTTCTTTCAGATGCGTCATCATTGTTGCCCATCTGTTAACCACAGTTTAATGCTAACCACGAGACCGCCGCTGCGCGGCCTTTGGAGTCTGCAGTGCCTTGTGTCGAGGATTTTGTTTCTAAGATTTGCGAGCGCGTATGCCCAAAACTACGTTCATAATTTGCATCACTGGAGGATTCTGGCTTAATGCTGAATATTCCCAGGCAAGCATGGCTTGGCCAAGTTACTACAACCTGTTGACCCATTTTGATCTGCAATCAACATTCGCGGGGTCCTTATATCTCTGTAGAATCCAGATACAAATTCCACCCAAGCCTCTGCGTTCTATCGGTTTATAAAGTGTCCACTGAACCATTGCAAAAGGGAAAGAGCACCGGCGATTTGTTTCATGCGGTCGTCAAGAGCATCATTTCTTCAGTTTGGTTACTCTAAAAGTCAGTCAGCCAGGATTCATTTCGCAGTGGCCTTTGGCTTCCTTTCCATTAAAAAAGCGGGAAATTAAAAAAAAACAAGAATGAAAAGTGTGCCCTTATTAACAAATTGGCCGTGTCTGGCGGCTTTTTTGGCTGAGGGGGAGGGAGGCTTTTCACTGTCAAGGGGCCCTTTTTCGACTATGCGCCCGCCCACCTCTTGCAGGGGCACAGCCAGAGCCTTGGCAAAGGGGCATAGAGTTGACAAAGTGCCCCGTGACAGTGAAAGGCCCCCCCCCCCAAAAAAAACACCTGATATGACCCATTTGTTACTGAGGACATGTTTTCTTATATATATATATATATATATATATATATATATATACATATAAATATATACCTATTACATATTTTTACCTTCTACAACTGGAGTAAAGGCAAGACGCTTTCGGGAGATCAATTTTGCCTCAAGTTTATAGTGAACTGAAAAAATCACGCGTTAAATGACTGCATGGAATAAATCGCCAACGCTCTTCATTTTTCAATGGTCTAAAAGACTCTTTTGAAACAATAGACCCCTGAAAATTTGCTGAATTAAAAAGAAGTAAGAATTTTTATCTTGGTCTTATAAAATAGCAAGGATTCCGTGAATGCAATTTGAAGATAAAATGGGTCAACTTTGTATTAACATGGCCAGCCATGTTTGCCTAGAAATGTTCAACATCAAGTCAGAATCGATAGCTGATGTAAATTATTAACGTGGTTTTTGACATGCGCGCTCGCAAATATTGGAACCAAAAGCCTCGACACAAGGCGCTGCAGTTCCCAAAGGCCGCGCAACGGCGGCCCTGTGGTTAACATTAAATTGAAGCCAACAGGTAGGCGAAAATGATGACGCATCTGAAACAAGCACCTTTGAACGCTTTTAGACACCAAATCTTGCATTTAGAGATATTCTGGGTGTATATTTCACCTGTGCGGTCTTTAGATTGATGACAACAAAGTAGTGGCCTTTACAGCACCACGAAGTATCGCCGGAATCTGGCGGTGCGACTGGAAGGGTAGGTTGGAATCTCCATTTTCCGTGTTGCTGTAACTCTTAATCTGTCCAGAGAACAACCCCAAAGTTGTAACAAAAGATTCGCCCTCCGTCATCTTTAAACCCCACGAATTGATTTTGAAAAGCATTCAAAAAACATTATTTTACGATGGCCATTGTTGCGCGCTCGACACCCGCCCCCGGCGCTACTTGCATTGGCCAACGCCGTTCAGCCTTGCGAAAACTGTGACCCAAGCTATTGTTACCCTTGCTGCCAGATATTACGGGCGTGTCATTGGGGCTTTGCGACGCACTCAGCTGCTGGGTCTATATGGCGCCGCCAGCCTCTCACCCTGGTGGTTATGGTAGGCACCGCGGGGAATCGAACCACGTACCTGTGGTTTCCCAGACGTGCAGTGGTTAACGCGGGCATGTTAACCGCTAGAATAGTGGCCCTCGGCACGCAGGCTCAAAACCTTTTGATGGTATTTGTTTCGCTGATCGATTCTGAAAAAAACTGAGCGTTCTCAAGGTAACATGGGATGGTCACATTCGTTTTCACTAATTTCGACTCACTCCATTCAACACTAATGAGGCCCCTTATTTCCGGTAAGCGGCCCCTTGAGTACAACACTACGGGGCACATTGCTGTTCCCAGTTAAGGGATGCAGGGCCATTCTGTCCCACCGAGGTGTGTTTTCCGGCCGTCATTCTGGCGACATGTGGCGGCATCCTCTGGCCGATCCAGAGACCCTTAGAGCGATACGTCACATCTCATTGGTCTGCTCCCTGACGCGGGAGGCCTTCTGACCCGCGCAGGTGGTCCCGGATCGACATACGAACCGTCATTAACGCAACAACATTCCTGCTCGCCGCAGGTGGTCAAATAACTGGCACACAGAATCTAGTTGGACTTAACGGACCCCACGCTGGAACAGGGATGGGGGCCCTACCGTTCGGTGCTGGGGGCCCTAACTGGCACAGCACTCTTGTGTTACATCAATGTGAGCGCTCATCATATGCTGTTATGTTTCCTTCCTTGTCAGAGAGCTCCGACCAACGCAAAAACCCTCTGCGATTCGGGCTCCCGTCCTCGCCCCTTTTGGGCAATCTTCCTCTGGCTGCATCAAGGACCCTTGCGGGAGCAGAATGCCCTGTTAGACACTGTAGGCCCCTGAACGATGCAGGAGCCCAACAACGTAAATCGCGGGACCGGCCTTGTCCTTGCTTGGAAAATGGGCCCCCAGAGCTCAGACCAACACGGGGCCGGCTGTTCGTTGTTTGTGATCTCTGGTCGAAGCAAGAGGAGCGCTCAGTCTCATCGGTCCCTGTCGGTGCAGGATATCATCTCACTGACATTTGAGATCGCGGACGTGTGGGTGGGGGTCCTTTATGATACATACAGTCAGCCCTTCGGACCCTACATTCATCCCATGATCTTTGGTCTCGATCCGGCCATTGATGTCTGGTGTCGAGAGACCCTTCAGCCAGCTCTTCGGGACCCCTCAAACACCGCTCCGATGCGTAGCCACTTGCCGCCACAGGATCCCTGTTCGGCACTGCGGCCCCTAACCTACACAGGAGCCCCTCATTGTGCCAGAGACCCGAACATTACAAAAAGCGGACCCCGGCCTTGTTTCTGCTTGGGTAATGGGTCTCAGAGGCTCAGAAGGACATGGAGCCGACTGCTAGCGAGCAAACGGGCCGTCGCTGCCGGCGCGGCGGCGGCGGCTCCGCCAGGGTGTGAGCGGCCCCTGCCGATTGGTTCCCACCATCTGGAGCCCATAAACCCACATGGGTTTACGGGGACACGCGGGCGGGGACGCACGGTCCGTGCCGAGCAGGCCACGTTCAGACTCCGCCGGCGCGGTTCGACGCGAGCCGCGACAGCGTTTACGATGACGACGACGACTTTGGAGTGTGCGACGCCGCCCTTCCACCCCCTCTCCCACCTTTGCCTTGCAACTCGTTGGCTAATAGAGACTCTTTCCTTTCAGCGTCTCAAGTCGATGGTCCTCCGGAAAACTGACGAACTCTTTCGCACGAACACCGACTGTTCGGTTTTCGTGGTCTCTAACCGACTTCGACACCCGCATTGTCTCAGGGGTTCCTCAAACGGTGCAAGAGAACCTCTGACAATTATTCCAGGTCACTATCCTACGGGCCACAATTATTTACGTGATGCACAGCCAGTCCTTCGGGTCGGTATGCTCTCCAACCGGGGCCTTCATCGCCGGTCCGGGTAGCCCGCTCGGTCCCCTCTTCAGGTCTCACCGAACACTTCTCTTGTTCGGCTCGGGACCCTTGCAAGCGCAGGGCTCTCTGTTAAGCGCTGTGGGTCACTGACAGATACAAGACCCCGACCGGTGTAAGTCATTGGCCCCGGCTTTATGGCTGATTGGGAAGTGGGTCTTCAGGCCCATACCGACACGGGGCCGACTATGTGGTACAGTGGTACCTGACCGACATATAGGCCCATATGGACTCAGGTGGTCCCCGATCGGCGCAAAGGGCCCTTTGAACGTTATTTGAGGGTCCGCCTTCGCAGGTCTGGGCCACTGAGTAAGACTCCGACCAGCCCTTCATGCCTTTAGATCCTCCGACCGGGCCCTTGATTGTCGGACCTGTTGGGCCCTCTAGGCTGTTCAGGTCTCCTCAAACACTGCCTCTGGCCGACACGGGGCCCCTTGACAACACAGGGCCCCAGTCAGGAGCTGGGCTGTCCCAAGCAATGCAAATCGCTGGCTCCGGCTTCATCCCTGCTTGGAAAATGGGCCCTTAGGCACATGCCGCCATGGAACCGACTGTGCGTTACTGGTGGTGTCTGACCAAAATATAGGCCCTTATCTATTCAGTGAGCCCCTGATCAGCTCACAGGGCCCCCTGACTGTCATTTGAGTGCCCCCCGATTGAGACCCCTGGTTGGCCTTTCGGGCCCTTCGGGCCCTCAAATGGGGCCTTTGATGGTAGGTTCCCAGGGATTCTTCGGGTCCCCCGGAACCTACCATTAAAGCCGTCTCGTAGACCCGATAAGGGCCTACGAGACGGCTATCCCGCCCGGGTGCCTAGGGTGCACAGAATGCCTCTGGGAGATGAGTTATCGTGGTGAATTAAGTGTTTGGATTTTTAGGACGTTTTACCATAATATATACCAATCTGCTGCTACTATAAGCTAATGTGCCATGGTTAACTGACTCGTGCAGGCTTCAAAGTGACGAATTAGCTGGGTTTTAATTTCAGCTTGTCTATCAGCCATGCCCGTATTTTAAGCCCAACTATCAACCGCTTATTCGTCGCTAGAGCGTCAGAAATGCGTCACATATTGTATCCAAAACACAGGACGCGCGAATTCGCACGAGTGTTCGGGCTTGCGAGGGGTGTTTGGGTGCGGACTTTCCTGAGCCCACACTGATGTAGTTGTTTTGCACATGGTCATTGCTGCATGCCCTTTTAATGTGTTGAATTTCGTCTTAAAAACTTGGTCATCCCCGTCTTTAGAAGTATTAGCCCAATCGTAGTGCAGCCGGTGGTACCTACCCCAACAGTACCATATGGGACATAATTTGCAGTTCTTTGGTGACCTGTGAGCTCCAAATGTAATATTCCCTGGCTCTAAGGGAATTTTAAAGTCTTTGGGGGAACAAGTTGTGCTCCTTTCCTGTTTCATTTCAATGAAGGGCATAAAGGTAAAGACAAACATGCATGTTGAGTAAGTAGCGGTTGTTCCATTTGCAAAACAGTGCTTGGTTGTATGCTTCTGGTCATATACGTTGAAAAGTTGGGCCATAGTGCACATTGTATAGCATTCAGATGCCCTCAATCATTGGCAGATATTGTGTGGTGGCTGCACTGAGGACATCAAAATTGGGAGCAATCAACAGTATTTGGTTTCAAGCTCTCATTTAAGGTCCTTTGGTTATCGTAAGTAATGAGTGAGTGCTGAAGACTACAGATGATGGTCACCGTTTGAGGTACAGTGCTATTGGAGGTGAAATGATAAAGCCAAGTGTTATATCCTGTGATTGTTTCCAATGGCATAGATGATTGACTGGCTTCTGGTGTTTCTGCCTGACAATTTTTCCATTTGTTTTAATTCTGTGTAACTACATCTAAAATGTTAACTTTTTCTGATCAAACAGTTCAACAAATCAATTTGACAAGCCAGGCATGCATCAGCATAAAAGCTGACGGGCAGTGCTAGTTGGTCCTGAGAAGTCTGCAGCAATGCTTGGCACGTAGCGATCCATATATCACTGCCTCCAACGCTTCTAAACCTTTGAGGTTTAGATGCACACTGCTTGGACTAGAGGGCTGGTCTCCAACCACCTTATTATCAAGATTGCTGGGCATAGAGTTTCTGCTTTCCATGCATAAATGGTGGCTGATTGGATCATCTTTTTTAATGCCCTCAAGCTACTGTTTCTGACATAGGGTATCCTTAGCAGTTAAGCTGCAGGATTTCTACTGTGTAGACTTTTTGGGTATTACCATTGGGGTGGCAGCTCAGCATCCATATTCTTTAAGGCATAGATGCATGCCATGGCCAGTTATGGTTAGCTCTGTCAGGAGGATAGGGCTTAGACACAGATAATTAGTTCCTAGCTAAAATCTTGGTCAGGGTGTACTTTCCTACCTAACGTTAGAAAAAATCATTGTATACCATTTGTCGTGTTTAAGGCAGGACATATTGTAAATAATCTCAAAACAGGTAGAATCATGCTCCTACCTTCGAATTTCAATAACTTCGATGGCGGGCTCCCGAGCGCCGCGCGCACCGCACCGCCTGGACTCCCTAGCGCCGTTTCTGCGTTGCCGTTGCGTAAATACAGTATTTCTGCTTACCAAGAACTCTACAAAATGTATGGGACGAAAGTAAACCATTCGTCGTGTTTAAGGCAGGACATATCGTAAATAATCACAAAACAGGTAGATTCATGATCTTACCTTCAATTTTTGTAATTACGATGGCGAGCTCCCGAGCGCCGCACACACACAGCACCTGCGACACCGGCGCTGTTACTGCGCGGGTCACAACATTACTGCGCATCAAGCAGCATCAAGAACCATAAAAATGTACCGGGCCAAGGTAATAAGAATCGTTAGGTTAGGCCAGTTTAGGATATGTTCTGGACTATTCTGACCTGTGTGTTTCATAAATGTACCTGAACTCGATAAGAAACGGTTTTGGTTGCTATATTATTGTTGCCTTGGTCCCGTACATGTTTTATGGTTCTTGATAAGCAGAAATATTGTTCTTTCGCAACAACGCAGAAACGGCGCTTGGGAGTCGAGGCGGTGCGGTGCGTTGCGTGCGGCGCTCGGGAGCTCGGTATCGTATTTATTAAAATTCGAGGGTAGGAGCATGATTCTATCTGTTTTGAAATTATTTACGATTTGTTCCGCCTTAAACACGACGAATGGTTTACCTTGGTCCCGTACATTTTGTAGAGGTCTTGGTAAGCAGAAATATTGTATTTACGCAACGGCAACGCAGAAACGGCGCTGGGGAGTCCAGGCGGTGCGGTGCGCGCGGCGCTCGGGAGCCCGCCATCGAAGTTATTGGAATTCGAAGGTAGGAGCATGATTCTACCTGTTTTCAGCTTATTTACGAGATGTGCCGGCTTAAACACGACGAATGGTGTGCAATGATTTTTTCTAACGTTAGGTAGGAAAGTACACCTACACCAAAATCTTAAACATTGGAGCAGCCCATGGTAGTATCTATTCAACATCCATGTATAGTATGGAATGAGAAATCATCCTGCTCACATCAACTTCCATTCCAAGCATGACCAATCTGCGTGGGATAAATTTGGTGCAACTGCATTAATTTTCCAGAAAATCACCACAATTCACTGTGGGGCCTCATATAAGTTGTTACTTATTAAGAACCCTGTTCCCTGACAGGCCTAGAGATTAGGAAGCTGTCAGGAATCTTGTGTCAGGGTACATTACAACAGGGAACAAGCTGTGCTTGGATCCTGCAGCTGTCTGTGCCAAGGCCTGACTGCATAACTCTTGTGCAAGGAGAGGTCATATATATATATATATATATATATATATATATATATATATATATATATATATATATATATATACACATACACATACTCACAGTACATACACATACATACACATACTCACAGTACACATACACATACTCACAGTACAGTAGGCCATCCAAATATATTGAGGAGTCTGGGATCAATAACATATATATATATATATATATATATATATATATATATATATATATATATATATATTATTGATACCAGATTTTTCATTATAATTAGATGGCCCTCTGTACTGTGAGGTGCAGCTGTGAGACTTTGGCAGGACAAATATGACAAGTGGTAGTTAGGTAGGTGGGCATGTAGGACAAGTGGTACCACCATATGTTCCTGTGTGCACAATGGCAGACCTTATGAAAAAGCCATTGGTAAGGAGACACCAAGAAATCTTAACATGCCTTAGGCCACCCTGTCAGCATCCTCTTGAAAATGTATCCTAGTCTCTGCTGGCATCAATCGACGCGTGCAAGTATACGCTGATGTCGAGCCAGCCGCGGGGCGGGCGGGCGGACACAGGCTCGCCGTTTTACCGACTAACTCCGGCTGTTCACTCTGCAACGGCTCGTCGCGGGCCCCAGAGTGTACCGAGCGCACGCTCCGCCCGCGCGTGGAGACGCGCTCGCAGCGAACGGACGCTGAGCCGTCCGCGTGCTCCACCGGTGCTCCACGTCAGGAGCACCGGTGCCGCGGGGAGCATGGCCGTTTGGCGGACGGCGTGCTGTGGCGGCGCAGCGAGCCAGCGGGCGTCGGCCCGTGTTGTTTACGGAGTGTTACGCAGTGCTGTGTGCGTGCAAGTCATGCTTGTTTGCACGTCGCGAGCTCAGTCGCGAAGCTGCTAAAGTACACATATTGAAGGCTGTCAGATATAGAGAGCTGGTTCTGAAGCATTGATGGTGCGTTCCTAATGCTAGGAGGCACGAATCGATATGTTGGTTTCAATTAATTTGATATTTCGCGCCCACCTTTTGTTTGCTATTTCTACCATTTTATGACAGGGCAACGCTGCTCACGATGCCGTTGCAAACAGGGATGTCTTGTGCCGTCTTATATGACGGTTCCAGTCCAAGGGCAATTTGATCGAGCCATTTATTGTTATTAGCCGAGCATTGTCTATGCCATTGTGAGGCATCACCGCGGCCCGTCATGACCATGTGGTGTCGAAACCACAGGCTGGTCTGAACTTGTGACGTTGCAACCCTGCCCGCTCTGACCGCGTTACCTTGACCCCCGTCCCGTGCCATGGGCATGTTCTGAGCGTGTGCCGGCGACCCCCAGCCTGCTCCGACCGTGTGCCGCGGCTGATCCCCGCCCTCTGCCGCGTCCGCAGCGTCACCGACGGCCGCCGAGCGTCGGCGGCGGGTCAGGCCGGGCGATACGCGCCTGGGGCGGCCGCGATAGCCGACGGCCGCTCGGCTCGGCTCGGCAGCCGCGGCCGACAGACGTGTGCCCGAGCCCGTCCGGCCTCCACGGCGTCGCACCATGGCGACCCGCGGCGGCGTGCTGGCGGCGCTGATGCGGCGCAAGGTCGTCTCGGAGGAGCACATGGGCGACACGGGCCTGGCGCGCGTGCTGGGCCTGGTCGACCTCTGCTGTCTGGCCATCGGCTCCACGCTCGGGCTGGGCATCTACGTGCTGGCCGGCGACGTGGCCAAGAAGGACGCCGGCCCGGCGGTGGTGATCTCGTTCCTGGTGGCCGCCGTCGCGTCGCTCTTCGCAGGTGGGTGCGGCGCCGCTCTGGCGAGACGCCTGGACTGGACGGCTGACGCTGGCCATCCGTCTGGGGGCGGTGGGGATGGGGTCATACTGCACGCGGGCGGGTCTGTTTCGCTGTTCCGGTCACCGGGTTGTTGAAGGGTCAGTCACCGCAGCGGGTGGCTGTACTCCACGCATCTCAATTCACTGCCGCGGTGTTCGGGCAGCAGTCGTCACTGGAACTCTTCGACACAATCAGTTCCTAAGGCTCCGTGACGTCGCCTGCACTCACCATGTCGGGAAGGGCGGGCACCGCGGGGAATCGAACCCCGTACTTTCGGTCTCCCAGACGCGCAGCCTAGCTATTACACTTCTGGTACCCGACTGGGGTTAGTGGAGAGTGTGCGCTTACTTGGTGGGTGGAGTGGTGGCGCGAATACGTGCTCAGATCACGTGTCTGGTGGCCCTCTTTTGACGCACCTCAAAGCTCATGTGGTGCCACAAATGGATTAAATATTTTAAAATGTAGGAGACGGAATACGGGGCTTGTCACCGTTTTGCTCCAGTGATGAGCGCGTGCTAAAAAGGTTCAACTGGGACAAAATTCGATGTCATTTGAAGGTGTCCACTATGCAGAGACGCGCTGAGGATATGTTCGACCACTGTCTGACCTGTACCAGTCATACTCGTCTTGTGTGTCAGTGTTTTTGATTGCCTCGCTGAAGACATTTGACACATCTGCGTGTACGAAACAGCGCCCTCCATAATCCGATCCGATTGATGCCGTAGCTGAAGTGTAACTGGCCCCGGTCGTTGCGCCACCTGGCACCTCCCGTTGCGCACACCTGTGAGTGCGGCCTGCAATGGCCTGCGGGAGACACTACACCTGCAGTGACCCGCGGGACACCTGCGGCGCCTGACGCGGTCCTGACCGTCGTCAGGCGCCGCAGGTGTCCCGGTCGCGGCGGCGTGGGGCCGGCCGGGCGCGCTCCCGGGCACGCTCCCGGGCACGCTCCCGAGCACGCTTCCGGGCACGCTCCCGGACGCGCTCCCGAGCACGCTCCCGGACGCGCTCCCGAGCACGCTCCCGGGCACGCTCCCGGACACGCTCCCGGGCACGCTCCCGGACACGCTTCCGGGCACGCTCCCGGACACGCTCCCGGGCACGCTCCCGGACGCGCTCCCGGGCACGCTCCCGGGCACGCTCCCGGACACGCTTCCGGGCACGCTCCCGGACACGCTCCCGGACCCGCTCCCGGACACGCTCCCGGACACGCTCCCGGACACGCTCCCGGACACGCTCCCGGACACGCTCCCGGGCACGCTCCCGGGTGCGCTCCCGGGCACGCCCCCGGGCACGCTCCCGGGCACGCTCCCGGACACGCTCCCGGACACGCTCCCGGACACGCTCCCGGCCACCAGGGCCGCTCTCCGCCGCGTGAGTCGGGCCCGCTGCGGACTGGGGGTGGGTCGAGGAGACGGCGATAGCGGGCCGGGCCGGGAGCAGCGGCGGTGATCCCGGCCTGCCCCGCTGCCGGGCCGATAGCGAGTCATCTGATGCCACCTCTGATACGGCCTGACGTCATCACCACTCAGTCAGCTGACCACGCCGGTCTCTGGGGTACCTGTCCCCCCCCCCCTCCTTCTCCCCCGTGCCTGCCCGTCTGCCGGTGACCTGACGGCGTACCGGTCCGCCTGCCCGGCTCTGAGGTACCTGTCCTGCACGTGTGACCGTCTGACTGCTCCCCCGGGCCTGCCCGTCTGCCGGTAACCTGACGGCGTGCCGGCCCGCCTGCCCGGCAGCGCTCTGTTACGCCGAGTTCGCGGCACGCGTGCCCAAGGCCGGCTCGGCCTACGTCTACAGCTACGTCTGCGTCGGGGAGCTGGTGGCGTTCGTTATCGGCTGGAACCTCATACTGGAGTACGTCATCGGTGAGTACGGCGGCCGCCGGCCGGGCGGGGGGCGCTGGCCCACGCTGGGAGACCGCGCGCTGGGAGACGTCGCCGCCGGGAGCCGCGTTAGCTGTCGGTGGCGCCCGCCGAGAGCGGCCTGGGAGCCGACCGGGAGATCCTTCCGACCCATGCGCCCGCGCCATCATCCCGGACAGCGCGGGCGTCAGCCACGGGACCCTCACCGCCGAGCGCCGTGTCTGCGGTGATGCTGGGAGGGCCGGCTCGCACCGTTCCTCCCCGGCACACAGCGTCACTAGCAGGGGCGGGACAGCCGGGCTGCCGCGCGCGCTGCCATTGCCCTCGCGACACTGGCCCTCGGCCTGTTTCAGTTATGCAACAGCCTGCGACTGTTGATCGCCTTTGTGCGTAATGCACGGACTGCACTGCGGTATCATTCGTGCGGATAACGGGCCGTCGTACTGGGCGGTACCTTTGCGGTGACGGGCCGTTTAATTGTGCGGTACCTGTGCGGTAACGGGCCGTCGCACTGTGCGGCACGTGTGCGGTAACTGGCCGTCGCACTGTGCGGTACCTGTGCGGTAACGGGCCGTCGTACTATGGCTTTAAGTGGTAGCGTAGACATGACCAGAGGGATGGAAACAATGCTCACAGCTGTGCTGAAAATACCTCGTGACTAGATGGTTGTGTGGTGGTCGTAAGATTCCTGTTCTGCGGTCTTGTTGAGTTGTTTGTGTGAAGGTTCTCGTCACCGTCTTCGCGCTTAACACCCCTTACATGATCGTCAGCCCGCGGAACTTATATAATGTAACAACCAGCTCAGGCCGCTTTTGTGATGGGGAAGTGTGGGAAGCACGGGGCTCTTCCGACATCTGTCGGCTACTAATGGCCGGAGGCCGTGAGGCTTATCCAGGTGTTTGCGTGTGGGAACAAGCCTACTGAACGAGGACGTCAGGCCTGGTGTAGGTGTACTTTCCTACCTAACGTTAGAAAAAATCATTGCACACCATTCGTCGCGTTTAAGGCGGCACATATCGTAAATAATCTCAAAACAGGTAGAATCATGCTCCTACCTTCAAATTTCAATAACTTCGATGGCGGGCTCCCGAGCGCCGCGCGCACCGCACCGCCTGGACTCCCTAGCGCCGTTTCTGCGTTGCCGTTGCGTAAATACAGTATTTCTGCTTACCAAGAACTCTACAAAATGTACGGGACCAAGGTAAACCATTCGTCGTGTTTAAGGCGGAACATATCGTAAATGATTTCAAAACAGATAGAATCATGCTCCTACCCTCGAATTTTAATAAATACGATAGCGAGCTCCCGAGCGCCGCACGCACCGCACCGCACCGCCTCGACTCCCAAGCGCCGTTTCTGCGTTGTTGCGAAAGCACAATATTTCTGCTTATCAATAACCATAAAACATGTGCGGGACCAAGGTAACAATAATAAAGCAACCAAAATCGTTTCTTATCGAGTTTCAGTACATTTATGAAACACACAGGCCAGAATAGTCCAGAACATATCCTAAACTAGCCTAACCTAACCTAACCTAACCTAACCTAACCTAACCTAACCTAACCTAACCTAACCTAACCTGACCTAACTAACCTAACCTAACTAACCTAACCTAACTAACCTAACCTAACCTAACCTAACCTAACCTAACCTAACCTAACCTAACCTAACCTAACCTAACCTAACCTAACCTAACCTAACCTAACCTATCCTCCCCACCCTATATCCCCTTCAACCCAGCATCCCATTGGCGTCCATGTTCCATGCCATATATAGGTGCCATATAGTGAGCTTTTATTTAGCTGCCATGTTCTCATTTTGCTTTACACTCCCCACTCAATCCCCCTGCAACCCATGGTCCCGTTGGCGTCGAGGATCAAATTTCATGGATTCTTGTTACCTTGGCCCGGTACATTTTTATGGTTCTTGATGCTGCTTGATGCGCAGTAATGTTGTGACCCGCGCAGTAATGGCGCCGGTGTCGCGGGTGCTGTATGTGTGCGGCGCTCGGGAGCTCGCCATCGTAATTATAAAAAATTGAAGATAAGATCATGAATCTACCTGTTTTGTGATTATTTACGATATGTCCTGCCTTAAACACGGCGGATGGTTTACCTTGGTCCCGTACATTTTGTAGAGTTCTTGGTAAGCAGAAATATTGTATTTACGCAACGGCAACGCAGAAACGGCGCTGGGGAGTCCAGGCGGTGCGGTGCGCGCGGCGCTCGGGAGCCCGCCATCGAAGTTATTGAAATTCGAAGGTAGGAGCATGATTCTACCTGTTTTGAGATTATTTACGATATGTCCTGCCTTAAGCACGACGAATGGTGTACAATGATTTTTCCTAACGTTAGGTAGGAAAGTACACCCTGACCCGTCAGGCCGATTCAGGTGTCTGCATGTGAAAATAAGCCAGCTGAACAACCAGCAAAGGCTTTCCCGTGCACTTGGAGCCTACGAAGCTGGTCAGCTCATTCCGAATGCTCGGCGTGCCTCGGGTGCTTCTCAGCGGTTGCTAAGCTTACAAAGCAAGAGTGCGTCGTTCGATTCCAGCACAGCAGCGTGCTGTCGCCGTTGATCACAAGTCACCGACAGAGGGCGCGATTTATCGTCTGCTTTTCTCACAAATCAAACACACAGCGGGACTGACACAGGCAATCAACGAGCCGCCACACCCTTAAACACAACAAAAGCGTAACACGGCGACTACCACGCTCCAATAAATAACCTCGGTCATCCCTCGATCGGTGCGGGTGACTACCGCGGTGTCTCCGGCGCCCTCCGCGCTGGGGTAGTGCGGCGCCTAGATAGCTGACCCAGCCCGCTGGCGAGGTCAGAACTGCTCCAGGCACACACGGCTGGCCGCGCTCCGCACGCCGTGGCCAGCGCAGGCTTGCACTGGACGCGGCGGCCTGGTCGGGCGGGCGGCTGTCTTGCAGCGCGGCGTGGACGTGGCCCAGGTGGACTCCGGAAGCCGCGGCTCGGTTCCGAGGCGCCGCCGGCGTCGGACGGCAGGGCGGCACGGCAGCCGCACAGTCCACCTCCTCAGACGCAGGTCGGTGCGCGAGTTTGCCCTGCTCTCTCCAGTCGCGCGCGGGGACAGACGCCGATCGCTGTCGGTCCCGGGACGTGACAACCGTCACAGGACCAGGTCGTCGGTCTCGGGCCGTGACGACCATTACGGACGAAGTCCCGGTGGTCGCGGCCTCGCGCCGCCGACGACTCACTCCTCGGCGAAGGTCCGGTCCGCGCCGGGGAAGAGCCACTCATCGTCGGGGAACGCGTCGGGCGGCGCCACGCAGACGGAGGGCCGCGACTCCTGGCAGTCGGCCGCCAGCCACGTGCCGTCGCCGGAGTCGAGCACGGCGCAGTCGCGCGCCGCCGTGTTGCCGGCCGTCTCCGGCGTGCCCCCGCGCCAGCGCGTGAACAGCAGCGCCGAGCGGTCCGCCCACTCGAAGCGGCCCTCGCGGCGCGCGTCGCGCAGGCCCAGGTAGACGGCGTCGGCGTCCTCGCCGACCAGCTGGGCGCGCGCCAGCAGCCAGCGCAGCGCCTCCTGCTCGGCGGCGCTGTTGATGGAGATGAGGTGGCCGCGGCCGCTGGAGATGGTGCGGCAGCGGCGGCGCGCGGCGCGGTACGAGCCGCCGTCCGCCGCCGTGACGTAGCGGTAGCAGAGGTTGTCCAGCCGCACGGACAGCTGGCCGGGCCGGCAGGCGCGGAACTCACAGGAGCTGGTGCCCGGCTGGCAGAAGTCGGTGGCGCACTGCTCGTCCCGCTCGCAGTCATGGCCGCGCTGGCGCACCGGCATGCAGACGGATGTCTGCCGGAATGTGCGGACACGGTCAGACACAGACGGATGTCTGCCGGGATGTGCGGACTCGGTCAAACGCAGACGGATGTCTGCCGGAATGTGCGGACACAGACACAGACAGATGTCTGCCAGAATGTGCGGACACAGTCAGACACAGACGGACGTCTGCCGGAATGTGCGGACACGGTCAGACACAGATAGACGTCTGCCTGGATGTGCGGACACGGTCAGACACAGACGGATGTCTGCCGGAGTGTGCGGACACGGTCAGACGCAGACGGATGTCTGCCGGAATGTGCGGACACAGTCAGACACAGACGGACGTCTGCCGGAATGTGCGGACACGGTCAGACACAGACGGACGTCTGCCGGAATGTGCGGACACGGTCAGACACAGACGGACGTCTGCCGGGATGTACGGACGCGGTCAGACACAGACGGATGTCTGCCGGAATGTGCGGACACAGACACAGACAGATGTCTGCCAGAATGTGCGGACACAGTCAGACACAGACGGACGTCCTGCCGGGAATGTGCGGACAACGGTCAGACACAGATATACGTCCTCCTGGATGTGCGGACAGGTCAGACACGACGGATGTCTTGCCGGAGTGTGCGGACAACGGTCAGACTCAGACTGATGTCTGCCGTAATGTGGCGGACACAGTCCAGGCACAGACGGACGTCTGCCGGAATGTGCGGACACGGTCAGACACAGACGGACGTCTGCCGGAATGTGCGGACACGGTCAGACACAGACGGATGTCTGCCTGTAGGTGCGGACACGGTCAGACACAGACGGACATCTGCCTGAATGTGCGAACACAGTCAGACACAGACGGACATCTGCCTGATTGAATGTGCGAACACAGTCAGACACGGACGGACATCTGCCTGAATGTGCGGGCACGGTCAGACACAGACGGACGTCTGCGGTACGCTGGCAGACGCGGTCGCACAGACGGACCTCCGCCGTCAGACGCAAACGCGCCGGCATCCGCAGACACGGCCGTACAGACACGTCTTTGGGCGTGCACCGGCACAGGGACGTACACAAGGACGTCTGCCAGCGAACGTGGTCCCGGATAAACGCGGACGTCCGCGTGCACATACCAACGTCTAAAACGGAAGTCTTCCATAGGAATCACTGCCAAAGTTGTTGTGCTGAAAGCAACCAACCTAGAATATACCAGAA